GATCACATGATAATTCTTTCCTGAGGAACCACCAGACTGATTTCCACAGTGGCTGCACCATGTTGTACTCCCACCAGCAATGGATGAGGGTCACTATTTTTCTTTTTATTAACTTTTTATTGTGGTTTAGGTGAAAGTTTACAGAGCAAATTGGTTTTCCATTCAGCATTTCATACATACTTTGTTTTGTGACATTGATATTTTTGAAGAGTATAGACCTGTTATTTTGTAGATAGGCCTGTTATTTTGTAGAATGCTCTTCATGAGTATATTCAAGTTATGTATGCACTTTTGGCAGGAATGCTATGGATTTTGCTGTGACCATCTCACAGTATCTTATCAGGAAGCACATGATGCTAGTTTGCCCCAATATTGATGTTAAATTTGATAACTTGGTTAAGTTACACCCACCAGATATCTTCATAATAAAGGTACAATTTTCCCTTTATAATTAATAAGTATCTTATGAGAGATACTTTGAGACTGCAGATATTTTGTTCCTCATCAGCCATACACATACCAGTTTTACCATCCCCTGACTTTCTAACTCTATCATACCATCTGTATTTATTAGTTGGCATTCTAGTGTAAGAAAGAGCTTTGCTTTCTTTATTCATTCATTCATTCATTTATTTTATATCAGTATGGACTCATGGATTTGTATTTTACTTAATGAGTTATAATCTGTTATTACTATACCAAGTTTGCTGGCTACTGTCTCTTTTTTGGTATGTCCCTATTACCTTTGGGCACTTTCTTACTTTCTGGAACAATAAGATATACAAGGATCATCTTGTACTTTCCCTGCTTTAGTCCTGGTATCTTTTATATTTCCTAACAAGTCCTGGTTCCTTTTAGTGGACAAGATGGTATTTAGAAACCAAGTGCTGGGTATTAGGTGCCCATTGCTTCTGGTATGTGCTCACTGCTGCTAGTATTTCAGCATACAGAGCTAGGGAAAAAAAAATACACAAATATACTTACCTATATCCAGAAGGCTGGCGGTTCAAACCCACCAGCCACTCCTCAGAAGGAAGGTTGAGCAATCTACTTCGATATTGATACTGCCTTGGAAACCCAAGGAGGGGTCACTATGAAGTCAGGTCTGACTTGACAGCACATAACAACGATTATAACATATTTTATTTGAGAGCTCTGGTAGCATAGTGCCTAAGGCACTTGACTACTAACAAGTAGGCTGGCGGTTCAAACCCACCAGCCACTCCTCGGAAGGAAGGTTGGGCAATTTACTTCCGTAGCGATACCACCTCGGAAAACCCAAGGAGGGGTCGCTATGACTCAGGTCCGACTTGACGGTACATAACAACACAACATATTTATTTCTGCTTCTATATATCTACTATATTAAAAGCTTGAATTCATACTGATAACCTGTAATTTCTATCCAACACTTCAAAGTGCATTATTTTTTCTTTCTGTTTCTTTGTTGGGTGTTTTCTTCTCCAAAAATGGAGGAACTAGGCTTCCTTATCCTGTATATTTTTACTCATAAATGCTTGATCTCTTTTTATTCCTTTCTGAGATATTGGTATCTGCCCTGCACACTGAAGAACTTCCTTTAGCATTCTTACAAGGTCAATCTGTTGGTGAGAATTTATCTCAGTTTTCATTTATCTGGAAAATGACTTTTTTTTTTTTAACCTTCATTCTTGAAGGATTTTTTTCATTGGATCAAGCATTTTCAGTTGAGAGTAGCTTTCTTTCTACCCTTTAAAAAGTGTTTCCCATTGTTTTCTAGTCTTCACTTTTTTTTTTTCCCCATGAGAAGTATACCATCCTTCATACCATTTTTCAACCTTTATATAATGTGTAAGTTTAAGATGGGAAACTTTTGGTTATTATATGTTTAAATATTTTTCTTCCTTATTCTTTCTCTTCTCTTTGAGACTCTTAATTATATATATGTTAGACCACCTGATATTGTCCCAAAAAGTACCAAGGTTCTGTTAACTTTACATCTATATCTCTATCTATATCTATTTCCTCTTCTGTCCTTCTGAATGGATACTTTTCTGTTAATCTATCTTTTCACAGACCTTTCTTCTACTATTTCCAATCTGTGGTTAAACTCACCAATTAATTTTTAATTTTAGATATACTTTTCAGGTCTAGAATTTTGATTTGGCTTTTATATAGTATTTCCTTTCTTCTCTGATATTCCCATCTGTTCATTCTTATCATATTTTCCTTTAAGTCCTTAAATACATTTATAATAGCTGCCTCTTTAAAGTCCTTGTTTGCTTATTCTAAAATCTGAGTCATCTTGGGGTCATTTTCTATTGACTAGCTTTTCTCTGGGCCATGGATTACATTTTCTTGTTTCTTCACATGTGTAATAATTTTTTATTATGTGCTAGACATTGTAGATGTTATATTACAGTGCATTTGGGTTATATTATATTCCTTTGAAATAGAACTGAGATTTTATGTGTCAAGTAGTAAAATTACTGACAGATTCTTTTGGTCCTGCCAGGCTTGGTCTTATTATGTTAGAGTGGAGTAATTTTAGTTTTCAGTTTAGTCTTAGGTTCTTGATTCTAGGTTATAGTCCTTACTCCTAAGCATTTCTGTGTCTCAGCTAAATGTCTGAGGTGCTTACTGAAGGTTTTCCTCAGGTAGGACTGGAACTGCAAAGTCTCCAAGCTCTCCCCTGTTATCGCCATTCAGCTTTCAGCAGGTAATTTTTGTTCATCCTTACAGGCTTGCTCTCTGTGTGTGTGCATGTGTGTGTATACATACATATATACATATATATATATAAAACACCAAAAATAAGCAACTGATCTTCTGCCACCCCTGTATCCCTTCTCCCACAAACTGCTCTCTCTTCTTAGGTAGTACTATGTCCTACAAATTCCAGTTACTTCAGAAGCTCAGAACTCCTTTTGCTTCTCTTCACTGAGATTATTGCCCACTTGTGTTACCTCCTACCTTCTTCACAGCTAGAAAATACCCCTAAACACAAAGTGAGGATTTTGTGTGGCAGTCATCTTATGTTTCCCTATGCATTGTCTATAGTTTAGTTGTCCTGTATATTTTGTCCTATTTTATAGTTATTTTCAGCAAGAGGGCAAGATGGTACTAATTACTTTGTTCTGGCAAGGGAGTATCCAAGGCTTGTGTTTACTCACGGTTATGTTTTCATAGACAATCAGAAGGATAATCACTATAATACTAGTGCTCTTTTTTTCTTGTTAATGTTTCTGGACCTGCAGAGGTTAGAAGTCATATATGTGTATTGCCTTTGACTTGAGTACGTTGTTAAAGGACAGTTGTTTGAGGTACCAGAGTTTGGAACTTCACCTAAAACAAATTTGAAGGATACATTAAACCCCCCAGTCACTTCAAGGAAGAGTGAAATCCAGGGTGGTTATTGATTTTAAACTTCTAGTAGATAAACACACACACATACACATTCACACACAGCAGTGAATGTCCTGATTCCAGTCTGTCAAACTACTGCTTTGATGAGAGAGTTTGTTTTAATCTTCTTGGTAAATTGACCTTCTGTAATGCAAATATTCATTAATAAAATAATTGCCTAGGATGCATTTTTATTTCTCACATTTTGATTAAAAAAAATAAAAAAGAAATGACCTTCAAAACATAGGGATTTTCCGGTGTGAATATTCCACATTTCCTGAAGGGATTTCCAGAAGCAGAGTTTTGGGAGCAGTGATGCTATTATTAGGTTAAACATGTAACTTCCCAAAGCTGTTGCCTTGAAGGGAACAGCACTCCTTCAGATGTTGATGTTTTGGTATATATTTTTCTATTCTAATCTTATCTCATGTAGTAATATTTGTTGATTTCCTCTAGTATGTTTTTCCTCCTATTTATCAGATTTGCTTTAAACTATAATAAAGTAAAAATAATCACATTTGATAACTATGATGTCATTCATAAATGAATTCCTTCATTTATTTGACCAATGATTTTGAGTTCCTGTGCTGAGGGTTGGAAATAAAGTGATGAACCAAAAATAGCCGCACATAGAGCTTTTGGAGTTCCTGGATGATACAAATGGTCATTGCACTCAGTAGCTAACCAGAAGGTTGGTGGTTCAAATCCACCCAAAGATGCCTTAGAAAAAAGATATAGCGATCTATTCCCAAAAAAAATGAGCCATTGAATAGTTTATGGAGCTTGGGTCTACTGTGACACACATGGGGTCACCATAAGTCAGAAATGACCCTATGGCAACAGATTTTTTTATAGAGCTTACTGCCTAATTTTAGGTCTTCCCAATCTAAAATTCATTGGAAAATAGTCTTATACCTTTCTTTTTCAAAACCATATTTTGAACTTTTACACTTTTCAAAAAGGCCTTAGTGAGATTGGATATATATGATGTGTTTTGTGAAACAGGAGATTCAAAGGATTAAGGCAAGTAGTCCCTGATTTTGAAATGTTTATAGTCTGAATTGAGGCCATGTAGCTATATTATATATACCAAAAAAAAAGAGAGAGAGAGAAAGATTTAAACACTTAGAACAGCTGAAATAGAAGTATGAAGTATGAAGAGATGTTGTATAAACAACCATTGCAAGTGAAGTAAAGTCAGTGTTTAAAAGTTTCAGAAGTAGAAATGATTTTCTTTTAATGTCACAGAAGAATCACTTACTGAGATATGAGGACACACATCATTTTACAGAGGTGGAGAGTTGCCACTTTTTCCTGAATTTAAGTAAAATTATTTAAAGTGGTTAACTTTTCAATCTCCTTTATTACCAAACATTTGTTCAATCTATATTTTGTTGTTTCTTCTAAATGCTAATTGTGGGAAAAAAAATCTTAACTTTATCTTTGTCAAAAATGATATGTACTTGCATGATTTGATGCCTTTCACAGTGATGAAATTGTTACTTAGAGTAACAAGGTAAGTCGAAGGCTAGCTATCACTAATCTTATAAATAAAAAAAATCAAATCAGTCTTTGAGCAGGTCAATCATTAAATTGAATTTCTTTTTCCTTACTAGGATCCTCGGTTCAATGCAGAAGTTGACCAAATTACAGGCTACAAGACACAAAGTATTCTTTGTATGCCAATTAAGAATCACAGGGAAGAGGTAAGCTAATTTTCCATTTTATAAAAGGTTTTATATATATATATATATATGTGTGTGTAATTTTTTTCCTCTTTGCAAACATTTGAAATAGTACTGTAGTGGTAACTATAAAGTCCTTAAATGTTCTGCTTGATATTTTCTATTTAGACTTTAGTTAAAGGGTTCAATCTTGGTAGAGATTTTAATGTCATCTTTAGCTTAGAATTAAATTTCAGATATGTCTTTCTCTCCTCTCCCAGAAAGTCTTATTGCATCTTAAGATACGTAATTATATCTGTAGTTGGGATCAATTTATTTCATATTATATTTTAGGTAAGTGTTTAAATAATACTTGTTTCATAAATGCTCATTTGATTGCAGTGGTTATCAGCTAATAATTTTGGATTCAAAATGAGGTTTTGAAAAATTAAAATTGTAGCTAATTCCAAATAACTGTAAATGTCATCATGAAAGTATGACAAGCAAATGAAAACATGTTGGTTCATAATGTACCTAACTAGTCAGACTTGAATTCTGTCAGCACTGAGTTCTCTATTTATTTTACATTTATTTGAAAAAAGATCATAATAAATTATAAATAAAACTACATCTCAAGTGAACATTCTCAATCTTGCCTATACATTACAATTAGTTGGGTACCTTCTAAAAAATCATCAATTACATCAGAAGCTCTAGGGCAGAATCTGGATACTGAGATGTTTCTAAAACTCCCCAAGTATTGCTATTCAGGGTTGAGAATCTCTACGTGAAGACACTGAAAGGACCATATCATTGGTTTTTAACCGTGGCTGTACATTAGAATCACCTGGGGAGCATTTAAAACTCTTAATGCCTAGAATTGACCTCAGATCAATAACTGTCTCTGGAGTTGGGACACAGGCATCAGTATTTTTTAAAGCTCTCACTTAATTACAGTATGCAGCCAAGGTTGGGAGTTAGTTTCAAAGATATTAGAAATACTTTGATGTTTCTTTTTTGATTTATATTCAAATGGTGACATCTTTCTTTTCCTTTCTGCATCTAGTTGTTACCAAATCCCATTGATTTTTTTTTTCTTTTACAGTGTTTTTCATTTCATTTCTGTCTTGGTTATCTAGTGCTGCTGTAACAGAAATACCACAAATGGATGGCTTTAACAAACAGGAATTTATTCTCTTACAGTTTAGGAGGCTAGAAGTCCAAATTCAGAGTGTTGGTTCTAGGGTCTGAGTGAAGGCCCCGCAGCCTTGAACTTCAGCTCTGTCTCTTACTCCGGGCACACTGAAGCAGGAGACTTCTTTTCTGACTCACGCAGCTGCTGGCTGCTGAGGCTGATGAACCCAAGGTTGACAGGTAAAATGGCACAATCCCAAGATCAGCAGGCAACATGGCAGGCCAAGACTCGGCCAAATGCAGGGTACAGATGTGCCAAAAGCTAGAAATCTTTCTCAAAGCTTCTGCTTATATACTGGAAGCAGGCCACGCCCTAAAGGCAACTACTAGCTGCTCACAGGAGATTCCACCATATAGGTGATTACAATCTCATCATGGGGAATAACTACATCCAGCTGCCCAGCCACTCAAAACCATAGCCTAGCCAAGTTGACAAACAACCTTAACTATCACAATTTCTTTCTTTTTTTTTTTTTTTTTTAATTCCTGCTGCCTGCACCAGTTTCCCTTCAAGTCCATCCTATAGACTGCTCCTCTGGGAGATTCCTAAATCAGTGCTTCTAAAATATTAATGTGCGTATTTGATTCATAACTAAGTATCTTGTTAAAATGCAGATTCTGAATTCTGTAGGTCAAGGGTGGGACCTGACATTCTTCTTCTTTAACAAGGGCCAATTTGATCCTGAAGCTGGTAGTTTGTAGACCATATTTTGACTAACACAGCTCTAAATAAATGCCTTTGAGTTGCTAGATAGTTTCTTTCTTTCTTTTTTTTTTTCTAATTTTTATTTTGATTTGGGTGAAAGTTTATAGAGCAAATTCATTTCCATACATCAGCTCACATACACTTTGTCTCATGATGTTGACTGCAATTTCCCATAATGCAATAGCTTTCTTCCCACTTCCTTCCCATAGTTACCTCTTCCCTGTGCCCATCCCTCAAAGCACTCCTGCCCCCTGAGCTGTCTCCTTGTGTATAAGCAGCCTTCTATTCTCCCACGATTGATCTCTCCAAGGAGTGTATCTACCTAATGTAAATGTTCTGCTCACATGCCTGTCTTTTGTTTGGCTAGCAGCCACAGGAGTAGGTTGAATTCCAGACCTGAAGGGCAGCTAGGGACCATAGTCTCAGTGGTTCCACCAGGCTCTATGAGACCAGCAAACCTGGTGCCTTTTATTTTTTTCAATGATTCTGAGTTTTGTTACACCTTGTTCTCCTACTCTATCCAGGATTTCCTACAGAAATCCCCCTACGAGTGGTTGACAGTGGTAGCCGGGCACCATCTAGTTCTTCTAGTCTCATAGTTGTGTAGGCTGAGGATCGCATGGTGTACCAGTCCCTCGGACTGTTCCCATGTGTCTTTGTTTTCTTCGTTCTTCTGTGCTCTGGATGAGGAGAGACCCATCATTGCATCTAGATGGCTGCTTGCAAGCTTTTAAGATCCCAGTTGCTACTCACCAAAGTAGGATGTAGAACATTGTTTTTGTGTAGTATGTTATGCCAGTTGAGCTTGATGTCCCCTGCAACCATCGTCCCGAGCCCAGAGGTCCAACTACTTGCTCTCTCTGGGTAGTTAGCTGTGGCCAAGAAGTGACTATAACCTTGTCCCTTGTCAGCTCTACTATATACCTGGAAATTCTTACAGAACATACAACTACACATGTAGAAACATTGTCTGTCGATCCTATACATGAGTTGCTAGATAGTTTCTTAAGACAGTAGCTCCAGCAGCAGTTTCTGAAAATGTTTGTGGCTATGACAGAAATGTGAGGTTAATTGATTAGTTACTGAATTAGTTAATTATGTGAATGAATAAATAAAACTAGAAAGATCATGCATAGACTTTGATGGGCCAATGATGCCAGTGTATTATAAATAAGGTAGCCAGATACAGGAAATGAAAATTATGTCTGTTGCAATATTTGGGATGTACTTGTACTAAAATTATTTGTTATTTATGTGAAATCAAGTTTGACTGGCACACTTATGTATAAAATAAGGACTATGATTTTGGGCAGTTAAGATGGAGGAAACTAGGTCCCACTGATTTTTAGTTTTTAGTTAGCAAATACTCTTTAAAATCATGGCTCCAAAACAACTTTGTTCTGGCAATAAGTCTTGGTCCAAATCATGCCAGCCAATTGGAAGAGATCCATATTTGTGCCCATGCCAAAGAAAGATGATCCAACAGGATGTAGAAATTATCGAACAATATTATTTATATCACATGCAAGTAAATTTTGCTGACAGTAATTAAAAAATGGTTGCAGCAGTACACCAACAGGGAACTGCTAGAAATTCAAGCCAATTTCAGAAGTGTGTGTGAAATGGGGGATATCATTGCTGATGTCAGTGAATTTTGGCTGAAAGCAAAAAATATAAGAAAGATGCCTACCTGTGTATTATTGACTATGCAAAGGCATTCAGCTATGTGGCTATTAACAAATTATGGATAACATTGCGAAGACTCGGAATTCCAGAATACTTAACTGTGCTCATGAGGAACCTGTGCCTAGAACAAGAGGTGATTGTTCCAACAGAACAAGGGAACACTGTATGGTTTCAAATCAGGAAAGGTGTGTGTCAGTGTTGTGTCATTATTCAGTCTGTATGCTGAGAGACTGTACTATATGAAGAAGACTGTGACATTAGGATTGGAAGAAGACTCATTAACAAACTGCAATATGCGGATGCTACAACTTTGCTTGCTGAAAGTGAATAGGACGTGAAACACTTACTGATGAAGATCAAAGACTACAGCCTTCAGTATGGATTACGTGTCAACATAAGGAAAACAAAAGTCCTCACAAATGGACCAATAAGCAACATTTTAATAAATACAGAGAAGATTGATGCTGTCAAGGATTTCATTTTACTTGGATCCACAGTCAACACCCATGGACGCAGTAGTCAAGAAATCAAACAGTGTATTGCATTGGGCAAATGCAATACTCTTTTCAAGTGTTAAGAAGCAAAAAATGCCCCTTAGAGGACTAAGGTGTGTCTTTCCCAAACCATGGTATTTTCAGTTGCCTCATACACATGTGAAAGCTGGACGGTGAACAAGGAAAACTGAAGAACTGATGCCTTTGAATTATGGTGTTGGTGAAGAATATTGAATATAACATGGATAGCCAGAAAAATAAACATTATCTGTCTTGGAAGAAGTATAGCCAGAGTTCTCCTTAGAAGCAAGGATGGCAAGACTTTGTCTTGGAGAAGGACATCATGCTTGGTAAAGTAGAGGGTCATTGAAAAAAAGGAAGCCCTTCAATGAGATGAATTGATACAGTGGCTGCAACAATGAGCTTTAAACATAGCAGTGATGGTGAGGATGGTAACAGAACTGGGCGGTGTTTTGTTCTGTTGTACACAGTGTTGCTCTGAGTCAAAACCAATTCAATAGCACCTAACAACAATAGTGCCTTAAGAGGAACTCATCCAGTAAGCAAGAGGAAATTGTGCTGCAATTAAAAAGAAAAAAAAAGTTATAAGTGCATATTTCTTGCATCACATTCATCTGGGCCAGTGTGCTTCAGAGATGAGACATGTTACTCGAAGGAAATGAAAAGCTTTGACATAGGTATGTGAATTTTTAGTGTTACTATTCAGTTTTGTTTTTTTGTTTTTCAGATTAGATGCTTCAGACCTGGGCATATGGACCAGTTTTTATTTTTGTTACTTGCATTAGGTATTTCTATAACCAGATTAGATTCTTTTATATTTAGTAAGGAAGTGCAGGGGAATTCAGTATTTTCCCTCTGTGCTCAGATGGCCTATTTCTGAGAAGTTGCCCTCCCTGAAGTATTGCTTATTTTATAACATGGAGGAAATGAATGTTCTGTTT